CCCCTCCCGCCGACAAGGCTCGAGACGCTACTGCCACCGGTAGACTAAAACAAACACGGGCGAGTGTGGGACACAGCTGGTTGAAAACATCGAACCAAACCACAGCACGGCGAGTCCTCACTAGCAAGTCGACAAATGTAGTAGGCCTTTTGGATCACGTGGATAACAAAAATGCTACAATTGCTGCAGCAATCATCTACTCTCTGTCCCGGGTAGATTCTAGAACGCCGTCCCCGAATGGAAAGAACAATTATTGCTTGGTCTGAGGTGGCCAGGTAACGCCGATTCGGTAACGCTACCAAGAGATGCTGCCGTTCATCAGTTGAAACGCAACTAAACTGACAGGACTGCAACTGCTGCTGCTCATCTACTGCCGCTTCGCCAGAGAAAGCAGGCGCACCTGCTCGCAGTGTATAGCACGTGCTACCTACCCGACAAGCAACCACCAACTACACTCATTAAATTCCAAGCGATGACTTCCAAGAAACAAAACAAAACCAAACACACGAAAATGCATACGTGTACGTACATTACGCCAGGACACTTATGATGTTCTTTCCGTGCTAGATACTCGTCGTGTATATTAACTGTAAGGTGCAACTGCTGTCCCATCCGAAGCGGCAGTACTATGTAGATCAGCGCCCGCAACTGCACTCTCCTCAGTCAAATCACTTGTGCTTCAAGCTGATACTTCGTGTTGTGTGTTGCCTATGGAATGATTATTCACTTGCGGTTCAACTGATGAAGTAGCAGCATCTTTTGAGTCACGCGTTACCGAATCGGCAAAATACCTCGCCACCTCAGACAAACACAAAAATATTCCAGATTTTTTTTTTTTTTCCTCCCATCATTGGACTCTGTCGTCTGCCCCTCTGGCCCCTATCCTCCACTTCTACTAGCTAGACGACCCAACCGGGGTCACATAGGAGGGGGGGGGTTGGACCCCCTCCTGCGGTTCATGCCTGAGGTATTTTTATCGCGAGATGTACAGCATGCATTCCATGTTGTAGGCGAATCTACGGGACACTAATGTAGAGTTCATGACCGCCGAGCGACATGCTATGCTATGTAGCACAGTAGCTGGTGCCACATGTATGTCTGTCGCACCCGACGCGACGCGAATGAACGGACTGCGTTTTGCAAAAACAGCATCTCCGCCATGCTACAGATACGCGAGCGCTCAAATTAAGTAGTATCAGGTGCCCAAAAAGGGGGACTAACCTCAACATGCGGGCCTTCTTGTCCGTGTTCTCTACGAAGGCCAGCTTGTCGGCTAGAGGCAGCGCCGTCATCTCCCCGAAAGAGCGCGCAAGCACGTTGAGCATGTGCTCCATGAACGGCATGTACGTCAGGGGGAACTCCGGGCCCGCCATCGACCCCGTCCACGGCAAGTGCGGCCCCTCCTTGCCAGGAGGCCGTGCCGGCGCCACCGTTTCCGTCGCTGAGCCCTTCGAGTTAACGCGAGGCTCCATTGCAACCTGCCCCAAACATATACGCCAAGTTCAATAACAACATGTTGTCGTATGAGGGATTCATGGGAAGAGGTACCTTCAATACAGGACTTGAGATATAGGTGGCATAGCTATACGGCGAGGAAACAACATGGAGGAATGCATAATTGAGAGATGAAATGCGGGTCGAAATCTGAACCATGAACGAAAGCATCTTCCATGAACAGCAGCAGACGAAAAAAGATCCATGACAATACAAATGCATGTTTCGAGAAGGGGGGAGACGATACGGGCGCAACATGTGCATACGCTATCATGTGTTGAGCAACGCGAGTACGGCCATGCACGACTGTCATCAAAGAAACGTGCCCTCTACCCACCATGTGTACAGCATCCGATGGTCGTCTTCGCCGCATTCCTGCCCTCCTGGTCTCCCCCCCGCCCGGCGCTGCTGAACGAACATACGAGGGTACAGCAGCAGCTGATCGGCCGCCGGCCTGCTGCACGCCTGGCGCCACGAAGCCCGCTCCGCACGGCAGTGAGGCAGCTGCGTAGCCGGCGATCACAGCGGAAAAGGCGCAGAGCGTCCGTCTCCTTCTCCGGGTGATCCTCCCCTCTCGCCGCCGCTGCTCGCCCGTCTCCTGCTGCCACCTGCTGCCCGCTCTCCCGCATGACCAAGCGTCCCGTGAGCTGCTCCTCCCTCCGTTCCTGCTGTTTTCGTTACATCGCGGTTCGGCGCCGATTACGCCTAGAGACGGCGACATTTTCCTCAGACAGAGAAGGGGTGGAGAGGAGGTTCGCGAGTGTGGGCGTTGCGGACTCTCCTGTTCCCCCACCTCCTCTTTCTGTCCTTCCCAACTTGACGTGCTCAGTGTGTTTTGGAACGACCAAGCGAAGAGGGAGAGATCTCGGCCTTCAAGGGCCACTGTAGGACCTGACGTGTCTAAACTTTAGCCTCCAGAACCAAATGGAAACCCATTGACTTATTAAGAGGAAATCTGCGCACGTACTCATGTTGCACAACCTGCCCTCTCTGCTGTTCTCTCTCACAGCAGCTCACGCTTACACGGCGGAGGTTATGGTTCCGAAGACCACGCGAAGACGAAGCCTCACGCTAGCGCCTCTGAGCATCTACTTGACTCTGTGCGCTGCCTTCGTGCAATCGCCATCGTTTCGACTGCGGGGGAATTCCATCGTCCGTCGGCGCCGGGCTAGTTGCTGCAGCAGCAGCGGGAGCGGCTGCTGGGAGCTGCGCTCGTCCTTGGGAGCAAACGGCGAGAGCAACGTCGGAGAGGACAGCGAAGACGAAGATGCGAGCATCTACTCTTTCCCGGGTAACCGTGGCGAGCTTCGGTGTTGTTACAGTTTTCTTGGTCTCAAGTCTCAAACGTATCACACACACCACCTGCTTCACCCAACACACGTTCGCATGGAACATCCTTTTCCGCTACCTTGGACATGTGTGCATTCCACGAGCAGTCTTTTGCGATCTCCACTCCGAGGTATGTGTACTGACTGGTCCACTACTGCAATTTCCTCGATCCCCCACTTCCATCTATGTTCTACTGGTTCCTCCTTGTTCTCGTTGCATACGGGGCCGTCGGCAAATGCTCGTCCACACCACGTGTCTCCCTGCGACTGCGGGAGGAAAAGGGGAGACAAGACCAGCGAAAAGGTTGCTTAGGTCGCTGTTCGGACCCACGCGAGAGCAACAGTTGTTGCTGCAGCAGGAGGAGCTATGCTTCGCACAGCAGTAGGGTGTAGCGCACGGCAGGCCTTGAAGGAAGATGATGGAGCTGCTGAGAGACCACGTGCACAAAGTGCGGGGGGACGGGCTGCCCGGATTTGATGCTTTCCCGGCGCATCAGCCGCGCGCGAACCGCTCCCACTATTAATAGTGCGAATGTTGACAAGGGTATGCAAGACAAGAGCAATTTTACGAGCGGCCGAGATGCCGACACAAACGGCTGCCATAAAGCAGCGGTCCCGATTTATCTGTGCCCCAAGCAGTGGCCATCCTTGCCTCTTATAATGGTTGCGGGCGCCTACGGTACCAGCAAATACGAGGCTTGTTTGCTTGTTCGCTACGACGCCGTTCATGCAGAGAAAAAATCGCACTTGAGGCCAATGTGCGCGAAGCGTGCTGGCCACAAGGTCCACAAATGGACTTTCATCCATATTTTCCAGCAGCAACATGTCAATACCGCAAAAGTGCCCTTGTATTAATTCATGGCTTCGAAATTTCCCCGGGCAGCTGACGCTTTTTTTGGGTACTGTAGTTCCAGCCAAAACTAAAGATATAGATCGTCCTCCCTACGCCTCGGCTTGAGCACCATTTCGCAGGAAGGTTCGTGAAGTTTTAGCGCCTATGGGAGTCGACCTATGGTTACCGCTGCGTCTGCTGTGTCGTCGACATGCATTTCAGGAAAATTGTCTTGACATCTGCTCCGACTCTGCTGCGCCAACCTCGTATCGTCGTCCATTCATCAACAGCCCAAATGATGTTTTTTTTTTTTATGTATAGATACACTCGGAGAGAGCGCTCCGGTTGGCGTGTCTCCCGAGAAATGGGAGCGCGTGCTGCGTTCAGCACGGGAGACCACCTTGCTGTCACCGAACCCGGAACACCCGCCGAGCCACGTGGCTGCCGTGACGCTGCAGGTTTGCTGAGTTTTGCGTGGCATCACGTCAATTCTCGGCGACTATTTTTTAGCTTCTTGTGCTCTCGTTGTTTCTGCAAGAAGATGCGTTTCACGTGCTCTCGCCGCTGGATGATGCGGAGCGTTGCAACGAACGCATGGGGACACTCTGTCCGTAAGGCACAGCGTACTGCTGTCGTGACGTATGTTCGTCCCGTTGTGCGTGCCACGGGAAAAAGCAGACGGCTGCCGCCCTCCCCCCCCCCCCCCCCCCCCCCCCCCCCCCCCCCCCCCCCCC